TGAGTGTGGAGACATGCGGATGAATGCATTCCCGGCGTTATAAGTAACGTCGACAGGCATGAGAAGAAGACAGATATATTTAATTTTCATATTATTGAAATTGGCGTTTCAGAAGTGTGTGTACCAATATGGAGGTAACTAATTTGGTTCGCCTACTTTACATCAAGTTGTGTAAAAGGACTGAAACTCATGGGCAGGGGATATATTCATTTGGCTAACACAGACAGTCCACGAACTCGTAATAGAACTAAAATAGAGAAAATCGTAATAAAATTATTCTCATCCCCAACCTGGTACACGCACTACAGGAGTTGATTGAAACCTTCGTGAAAATAATAACGCAAATAAGAATTGTTCTGAAACTCTTTATTTATAGATCTTCGAGTTCGATTTCTGGTCTTGGGGTTTACGCCCAATTATGGGTCATAGATGATTGATATCGAAATTTGGCAGAATCTCAGAATATACAATTCTTAGTCAATCAACTTTACGTAATTTGCAGGAATTAAGCCTCGTTGCCCGTTGCAGGTTCCCAACCACCAATCTTTTTTTTTCTGTATATTCAATATCTGTGATAATGTCTCGTGTCCGAATGCTTATTTCGACATCTTCGTCTAACAGTAAATAAAAAAACGGATAGAACTGCTGCTGTGTACAGTTTGTTGCCAATATAGTGTGATAATAAGAATATGATTGCTTGTTAATAATAAGTTTACTTGAGAGAGCTTTCATTTTAACATAACATGTATAGATCGTTACTGGCCGCGACTGACGCAATACAAACACGGGCTGTAATATATGTAGCCTAAATTGTAAAAGATAAGTAACAAACCTTAGTGAAAATAGTACAGTGTATCTAGAAAAAAAGAAAATATATTTTTAACATCAAAATGATATCTTAGACTCGCGTTAATAATAAGATAGGGATTCATATCCAAATCAAAAGGAAAATTGTCGTTGCGAAATCTCTAGGCGTTTTCGGAACTAGGGATGGGCAAAATCGAATATATTTTTCAAATCGAATAATTCGAATATTTTTAACTAATACCGAATAACGAATATTTTTAATATACAGCTCCTTTTAGAAATTAATGAAAGTAATAGAAGGTGAAATGGAGATGACAACGCTTTTACTCTGAGGTACATCGTTTGCGTCGACTTTTGCCTCCCTTTGTGTGATCGTTTGTGATTTAACTGCCCGATTTTAAGCGATCGATATTATTTTTACCGACTTCGGGGTGTGGATATTTATGTCGTGAATCCATAACTTAAATTATTGACTGAAAATAAAAAAGTATTGCGCAGTTATAACCGGTTTCAGGAAATACTAAAAATATAACGAAAAGGCCAAAGTTTGTTTTAGTTCCTGTTATATATGAAAGCGCTATTTGAGAGATTGTTAATCGCCAAAATTTATTGTACACATCATATATAGTTCATCACTTTGAAAACTCTACGATAGTCACAGTTTTATCGTAATGAAATAAATTGTACTCTTTGGGATTTTATCGAAAATTGTTAATCGCCAAAATATCTGTAGGCGCACATTACGTATGGATCGTGACTTCGGAAACTATATCATAGTCACCTATACATTCCTGAATTGCCGCCGGGCCGCACTCGATTTTTCTGGGATATAAGCTAATTAGTGAATAGAGTATATTAATCAGTTTTTTATCGTACTGAAATGAATTTTACTTTTTGGGATTTTATTGCATATTTGTGATTTGTTCAACGGTGATATCTCAAAAATAATATAAGTGGCATTTTACAGGGATGGCCATTTCCGAATACTAAACTATTCCTAATACATTCTAAAATAATGTTTTCGAATCTGGAATTCCAAATACATTCTAAAATCGAAAATAACACATTTTTGTTTTAGTTTATTAAAACCCAGTAAAATAGGAAATAAACTTCAATAGAAATATCAGAATAAAGCCACAAACCAACAGTATATGTACATAAATTAATTGATAGTTTATAGCTATCAGTTAGTTTATTAAAATTGTACATCTAGTACGCATGACCATATGAAAAGATAGCCAAGGAGTTGTCTGACGCTGGCAACAGTCGTCGTGATTACCCATTTGTTGAAATTGCCGACTTTTTCACCGTTGATGGTTTTTCTGTTGCGCAAAATATTCAGTTCAAGACTATTACGAGAATAAAAAATGTCTTGCCATATCAATTTAATATATAATATAATTAATTTAATTATATATTAAGAAAAGGAGCAGAATTTGAGCCACTTAAGATTATTTTTAAGCACAAACACATGTTTGGGAACCGCTGGGATTTGCTATAGTTTCCGATCCGATGAAAAATAACGAAATTTTTGGGATTTATCAGGTCAAAAATAGAGCTTTGAAAACGAATATTATGATGTTCTGCATTATAGTTTGTGATATATATATAGATATCTTATGACTCCGCTCCTTTCTTACAATAATCACTTCCTCATTTTCAGTCGCTAATTGGATTTGCGGATTAAATTTTTAGTTTGTATTTAGTCTCTTGTTTCAGATGACCACACGATATGGAGTTTTGCACACTTCCAAGGAAATCCTTTTCTCGACGTTCTCATAATACAGGGATAATTCCCTGTAAAATAGTTTACCGATATATTGCTGATGTTCACGTTTTAAATACCCAGGACATGAAATAACTATCAGCGATTTCAACTCAGTCCCCCCCTGTACTAGACAAAAAGAAACAAAATGTATTGGGACATCCACGAACACGCGCTTAGCAAAATGCTGATATATCAGGAGCTGGCGTTTTTGAATTATTGTACAGAAATTATTCAGATGGTTTTATGTTTATATTCAGAGCTGATAGTACGTGTGGAATTACAATATTTACATTTGCGGACGATTTATTGTTTCTCCGATCTCTTCAACGATAATTTTTATGCAATAAAACTATAGCCTAATTTTAGCACGAACAAGTGGGCCGGATAAAACACTTAAGGTGGGCCGGATCCGGCCCGCGGGCCGTAATTTGCCCACCCCTGAGTTAGAGGATAGATGACCATAACTGCCAGGCGCGCAGCCAGGATTTCCAAAATCGGAAATTCCCATTGCCGCCTGTTACAGCCACCGCGATTTCGCGCTCGTTCCGTCTTTTCAGCGTAAACTGCCTGGTGTATTTAATTTTATTACTGATTTTTGGAATCTTGCCAACTCGTTATCGCCGTTAGAAAAATCTCAATAACTGATATAAAATCCTGTACAACTTCATTTCATACAATGAATATACATATAAAGTTTAGCAGTAAATTAAAAAATACATATTCATCGCCGCGATTACTCCACCTGTTAAAAGAGCCAACTTTTACAACGAATAATATAACGACGATTATATATTTTTCTGTTGTGCAAAGTGATGAATTCGTGACCGATACGGGCATATTTAAAATGTCTTGCTTTATTAATTTAATTCTGTTCAATTTAACCTGCGGTTGCGTCGACAAAATAAAATCCTCACCACTCTAATATATCATAGCAATCCGCGGACATAAAAATAAAAATGTGTGGTAAACTGCCCGATTATATATTGTTTTTATCCCTAGTTTGCGAATTCGGTAAATTTGAGATATGTAACGCTGACTCCGCTTAATCGAAATGCCGCAACTCCGATTATTTTTAAGATAAAACCGTTAAAAAATCCATAAATCTGCCATAAAATCTCAGAGTAAAATTTATTTCAGCACAATAAAAATAGATCGAATATACTTTATTTAGATTAATTATATTATATATATGCATTCTCACAACCGAGAAAAAGTCGCGTTTCAAACCTTGTATAATCCTAACACGAAAATTTCCGACGGCAATTTAATTAAAGTAATGGATAATCAGGCAAATCCCGCCCTCAATTACGATATGTTTCTAAACGCGGATCAAATATAATGTGTGCAAGAGGCACACGAAATTTTGCGATTTTCTCTGCCTAGAAAAGCGTTTTTTAAACTGTCGCAGGCCTCAATAAATATATTTTGTTTACGTTTTATTCGCAGTATTTTAAATTGCCGCTTTTCAATCAAATAATTTGCGTTTTTTAGAAACTCGCCGCCGATAAACGTATTCACCGGATTCACCATTCCGTGCGAGTACAACAATAAAATAATTATCATCGTTATCGTGGAACAAATTTGTGGAAAATTTGTGTTTTAGAGAAAATAGCACAAACGTAAAGGCGTTTACGGCCTGAATAACACGCCACGACGATAAAAGCAATCGCACGCAAGTTTCTATCGAGAATGTTTTCATTGAACGGAAACGTCTTGAAAGCGGCGTCGAAAATGTGTGACGTCACACAAATATCCGATATTCTTATGAACGCTAATTTCGATATTCGAATGACGAGATATTCGAATACTTTATTCGAATTGGCCATCCCTGTGCGGCAACCAGTGTTGCTGGAACGGTTCAAATTTGACAAAATCGCAGGGTCGAATCAAAATTAAATATATATAATCGTACAGTTAACCAGGAATCTGTTTTACAGTAACAATGCTTTTATTTTATCGCAATTCGACACAACCGCGAGTTACATTGAACACAATTAAATTAAAATTGCAAGACGTATTGCATGCTCGCATTGGTCATGGATTGAATATTTCACGCAACAGAAAAATTAGTATCACCTGAAAAAGTCGGTTCTTCCAACGAGTTGTGTTATAACGGAGACCTTCTCTTTTGGAATTTCTTACGCTTTAGTTTTTCTAGTCTGTATGTGTTATTTTCGCATTAAATAAACCGATAGTATTAAGTCGATAGTTTTTATTATCATACACGGTATTGATTTTTGCTTCTCATATGCAATTTTGTTCTGAAATTTTCCACAAGAACTTACACTTTGCGGAATTCTTTTTTAGCCCAGCTGTGTTGAGAACTGTATTGTTTTGTATGTATTTTTCATAGCAGTTGTCTCTCTGAAGTTTTTATCAATAATTTTGATTGCTCGCGACCTTTTTAGGTTTTTGGTAAAAAAATTCAAGACTCACTTTCGTCAAAGTCGAAAAGTGCTTGTGCTTTCTTTTTTGTTGCTGGAGTAGCCTTTTGTGCATCAGGTGAACCTATAAAAAATAATTATAGATGCGGTCATTGATATAATTTAATATCAACAGTATTTAAAACAGGAGTTACGTCATTACTATCGGTGTGGGGTAAATTGATTTTTTATCCTAGCCCAAACGTTAAAGTGAATGTCTTTTACGACGTACGGTGTGTACTTTACAAAGGATTCGCCGATGTCCTTTTTCAGTAGTATTATTTTGCCATGGCTTTATTAATTGCAGCGACTTGTACTTTCGCTCGGAAATGTTTCAAATGTTTTGTGTTTGGCATTATGCAAACAAAACTTGACAAACAAAATGTAACTGGTTTTAAGTTGGAAAGCATGGTCTTCTGCAAAAATGATTTCTTTTCTTTAGCAATTGATTCTTTATATATATAATATAGAAATTATTAAGAGTGATATCTAATTTCCACATGGCTCCTATCATGACTGATTTGGCGTTTTTAGGGAGGGAAAAACGACCGGAGCGACAAAAAAATCTAGGTAAACTGAACTGCAGAATTCACATACAAGAACATTTTGAAAAACTCATTATGTGCATTAGTGGCTGCACAATTGACACCTAATTCTGAGTGGTGTGAAACATCTCATAAATACGAAGGTCTGGCATTTTGAGGCCTAAATTAAAAATTGATATGTTAAAAGCGCGTGTCCGAAAGTTATGCTTACAATTAGTTTGTTCATCATTATTTTTATCGGAAATCAAAATATTATTGTAGCTGACCTGTTGTTTCAACACTGATACTGCCGACGTCGTTGTTGTCAATATGTTCAGATTCGTTGTCAAATTCATTATTTTTCAGAAAATCCTAAAATATGATATTTGGCCGAATAATAAAATTGTTCTTAGCCTATTATGCAAAACCTGTACTTCATTTCATTTATTTATTTTTCATTGCAAACTATCGTAAATATTTTGTAGACCCTATGAATTAAGCAGCTTGGAAGCTTTGTCCGCCTCAGGTTAAGGGACTTCTATCCTATAATCAGTAGGGCTGGGAATTTCAGAGAAAACACTTTAACCGTTAACCAAGAAAAATTTCCCAGTTAACCAGAGCGTGACGTTTGACGTAATAATTTATAATTTTAGCCCATTACGTCACAATGGTTACAATTTAGCGTGATCTTTCCCCGGTGTCTCTCAAAATTATTCACGAATCGAAACAGTTTCATGATCGACCTGCTGCACGAGATATGCAGCGTACTTCGCACATATGAAAGTATTTTAGTAAAACAGATTCCGTTAATAAATTTCATTTATGTGACACATTTTCAATGCTCGATGTGCAAATCCTACTTTTAGATTTCATAAAGAAAAACAGCATCAACTGCGCACATTGAATAGACGATTTTGCAATGAAATCGTGAACGATATATTTTTACAGAAAACTGATTCTGAATTTAACATATAGTCAAATTTTCATAATCAGCAATCTTAGTACTTAAAGTATTTTTCACATTTATTTGGTTCTTACCAATACACTTAGTGATATGCCACAGAAGATAAATTTCCGATGACGAAATCATTTTTGAAGAAATTGTACATTATAAAGATGATTAACCGATTACCCGGTTAACCATTCCCAGAAATTTGTGGAATGTCGTTGCCATTTGCCCATCAGACAGTCAGTTATATGTAATTTGTCAAACCTTTTGTTTTATAGACTTAATATTGACCTACGAAGTTCTATCGGCCTTTAAATTACGCTTACAATTCACAAAACCTAACCAAAAAATTACCAGGATTCACAACATTTCATACGCACACACCGGAGTCATGAAATTGTTACATTGTTTCGCCAAATAGGCGTGGCTATAGGAGGCAAAGGGAACGAGTAAATTCTTGTTGTTTAATATACATTTCTTGTACTGAAATGTAAAAACCGGAACATGGTGTGATTGATTTTAGTTGAAAATTGTATAATTAGCGACTATCTTCAAAAATCGGTTCATTAAAAAACTTGAAGAATGTTTTAAAACGTTTTGCGCCATTAACCGGGCTGGTATCGGCAGTCAGTGATATGTAAGATTTTACTATTTTTTAGAATGACCGGTTATTTCGTATGTTTGCCCTGCCTATCCAGAGGCTATCCTATGATGACGTTATGGCTTTATGTCAAGGATCAAAATTGGAACCGCGGCTCTTCGTTTATTTGTGATTTTTTACCTCGAGATATTCGAACTCTGGCCTTTTTTCTGGATCCTCATCCCAGCACTTAAGCATGACTTCGTAAAGTCGTTCAGGACATGAGGCTGGACGTGGCATTCTATACCCTTCGTTATATTTGTTTCTAACTTCTTTGTTCGACATTCCTGTAAAAATAATATACAATTCTTTGTTTCCTAGTAATGTTGGTTAACCAAGTATATAATTAAAATACATTGAAGCAAGCGATGCTGCTAAGAATTGTGATATTAAACACGAAATAGCGATATTTTGTTAAATATCTGATTTGAATTCAAATACTCTTCGGAACGATGTTCGAAAGGAATCTATGGCAGGATAAAACTGAACTAAAGAAATACTGTATTACGCAGTCGCCTAGACACTTTTTCCCAAGACGGCGAGCGGGAAAAATAAACATTACAAACGGATAATATCAGTTTGCAATTAGCATCTAATTGCCGACAGTCGGTGCGTAATCAAATTAACCGAAAACAAAGTCGCCACACAAAGCGAGACTTGTTGGATGTAGATTGACTGATTAAACTTCTACTTAGTTCGGATTGCATTATCCTACAATCTTCTACACGTAATAGAATGCCTACCCGGGTATGGCATGCGTCCCTTTGTCACTAATTCTGTGAGAAGCACACCAAAACTCCAAACATCTGACTTATTCGAATACACTCCGTAGAAAAAGATTTCTGGCGCTGTCCATTTTATTGGACATGTACACATTCCATATGGCCTCCATTTCCCATCGTCTCCGACATACCGTGCCATGCTGAAATCAAACAGTTTGCACGACAAGTTTTCCCCGAATGAAACAGATTCTGCGCGAAGATTTATGAAAATATATTGTTTTTGTTCCAAATAGGCCATTCCGGATGCAATCTGTTAATAGAGTAATGATATTTCATTCCATTCTGGTTACTTTGACAATTCATGATTAAGAAATAGGCTGGTATCTGTTATAATTGCAGCTGTAAATTGAATGAAAAGCAAAAAATATTTACATTTTATACCCGATATAACGGTATGCTAAAATAGAACCGGATCTAACAGAGTGAAGCACCGGGATAATATATTGGGAATCGCTCATTAACAGATTCAATGGGCTGATCTTATTATTACTTATCGATCTTGATCGGTAAGTATGTTGATAGGTATTTGTTTGTCTGCCTGTTTGTTTGTCTGTTAGACACTTTCGTATCTTACGCGATATCTCATGAAAGCGAGGTTGAATCTGCTCCAAATTTTGCATATGCATTCATCATATCTCGGACCAACCTATTGACTTTGGATGAATTGTGCCGCATAATTAGCGAGTTATTAATTAATTAGTGATGGGACAGACGGTGTCGCTGTGGAGTAAGAGCGGATGATTCGAAACCGCAGTTTCTGTTTTGGGTATCCCCTAACTTTCGATTGATAAGTCTTCCGTCTAACCGATATTCTCGTTATTATTATTGAGAAATTCAGGATTTCAAGACAAACATCTTGTAGAATGTAGAGCATGGCTCAAAACCCCAAAATTTCAAAAAATGTGACTTAGGTCCCTCCTGTTTTTACCCGGCGATATCTTAAATAGAATCGGGTTTGGGAAAGTGGGGCATTGGGAATCAGATACGGAAATGCCCATTTACAGATTCAATGAATGATCGCCATTGCGATGTTGTCAGAAGTTTAGTCGTTTGGCGCACTTTGATTATTTCATCATGACATACCTGAGTAGCCATGCCTATTTGATCTTTTATTGTGGAATGTCGGCCTTCTCCAGTTTTAAGAAAGTCCAACAAATTACCATATTTCATATACTCTAGAAGCAATATCTTTTTATCTGAAGAAATTAAATCATTACTAAAACGTTTATAATTGAAATATTCTGTAGATGTTAAGCAAACGATTCTATACGCTGTACAGCAGGAAATATATACCGTATATCATGGGCTTCATTGTCATTTGTAAGAAGTTACTTTCTTTAGTTGCGGGTTTTTTGCGCCTATCATATCGTTTCAATTCCTCATTTGGCAAAAAACGCAGCACCTCTTTGACCAGATAAGGTATTTAAAAAATTCTTTCAATATCAACGCCCGTCGCATGTCATTAGTCATTTTATGCATGACCCCAACATAACATTGATTGTTAAAAATGACGTTTTCGAGAGACAATACAGGGCAAAAAAGGCAATTTTTTGTAATACCGTTTAAGCTGGTTGTAAAAAAAAACACCGGGCATGAATTATATTGTTCGGCAAAAACATTAATATTTAGTTATTAGGCATAGACAACATAGGCTAACAAATTTCTCATTCGATTTTCAGTTTTTATGAAGCCTATTTTGTTAACATATATTCCCGACCAAAAGGTAGACATTATTTAACTTCGCTAGTTGCCTCAGCTAGCCATAACAGTGGTCAATTCCAGTGATATTAGTGATGTAACAATATGTCACAAGATATTTCTGGTTATTTTTATGACGAAACAACACCAAATGCGATTTTCTGTTTAATGACTTAAATTCGAAGTGTCATTTTGCTATTGGTTTGTACTTTGCACTTTTAACTGTTCAAATTGGATTCCTTTTTGTAAAATGGTTCTTAAAATGATTGACCAGCATTTTACAGATGAAAGAGCGCATTTTAGATTTAAATAATACGCATTAAAAGTTATTATTATAACCATTTTTATTTTAAATCAAAACGAGAACCACATTTGGGTCATTGCTTTTATATGCAGTAAAATAGTTTGCCTACGCATTGCACTTACCTGTAACAGCACCATATAATGTCATGATGTTTTTGTGAGAAAGCTTCTTTATCGTATTAAACTCATTCATAAAACTATTTCCGAATAGCTTGGCATCTGGCTTCCAGATTTTTATGATAACTTTTTGTGAACCAAATTTGCCTGTAAATTACATTTACTCGTAAACTCGATTCTAAATTCAATATTTGATAGGTCAATTAGAAAATAGTAAACAACAAATGTAGATCTTATTGATTTGAGAAATCCATGTGGTAAATAGAGGGTGAAGTTTCCTATTTGATATGCAGATTACATATCAAGCATTTCTGAATGGGGAAACAAATATGTATATGATCTCTAGATTATAAATAATATATTGGCAGTTTTGTCTAAAACTATGTCTTAGTTTCACAATACATGAGCATCTGTCGATCTACAATTTTTAGTTTTAAAAAACAAGATGAATCTTCTGAAATGAAGATTCATAAACTGTTAATAACAGATGTCAGTCTCGTAATATATCATATAAGCTTTAACCATCGATGATTATTGAATGACGTCGTATATTTATATCTCAACATACCTTTCCACAATTCTGCGAATAGCGTTTCACTGACTTTGGTATCTTTATAAATTTGATTTTCGTTGCTAGGAACCCATACCTCATCTCCCTTTTCTACTATAGAAAATAAAAAAAACATTTTGAATGAAAATCAATGACAGCCATGTAGATTTGTCTTGTGGGATATAGCAAATGGTTTTCCACCGTCAACAGACTGTTTATTTGCGATAACGTGAACGAGGTCACCTCTTGCATTGAATGAGGTCAAACCTAGATAATTATTATTCCATAATTTAATACTGTAACCGCCAATATCTTGTAGAATAGCTAGTTTCTATCGCTAGTTGGAGCTATGGAGCTGTTTATCGAATTTCATGTTAATGCACTACAATTACTCTGTGGAAGTGATGTCAGTGGACCAAGTTTCTAACGGTTCAGTTGTTTTGCCTTTGTCTTGAAAAAGTCATTTTGAGTTTCAAAGCTAATGAGCGATTAGTCTGTATATTCCTGCTAGGTACCGGAAGAGGTTTGTTAGTTTATTTATTATAATCATTAGTGATACCCGTGTTTGTTGTGTGATGTGATAATTCTGTTTATGTTTGTTGACTATTACAATATTGCTTATATTTTGTGCATATGCATTTACTTATTTTAAAATGAGTTCAGAAAACTGTACTCTGCTCAGTTGTTTTCAACGCAATGTATGGCGACAAAGAACTAAACATCTTGTGCTGATAGTGCGGGTGTTGGGGAGATACAGCATACAACTCGGTTGTTAAAAGTATTCGGCGTTGGCCTACTCGTACACCTTATGTGTATAAGTCCACAATTAGGATTTAATCAAGGCTATTCGCCAACACATACTTTTACCAACATCTTCGGCATTGTCGCCAAAGTCTGATCTTTTCAACACATTCTGAAAATACAGTGTAGAATGAAGATTTTTTCGTTTAGCCATTATTGAATATGAATTTATTGTGATTCGAAGTTTACTTATTATTAACATTATGATTGGATTTACAAATCATCCACAACGAATGGAACGTTCACTTAGTTCTGGTTACTCTACAGAATAATTGAATTTGTGGGTTGCAGTACATAGTTATGGGTTGGAAACATTTCAGCGGAACATCATGTTCATTTGAGCACTTGCAAGCGTTTCCTGCACAAATACTGTATTCCAATAATCAGCATTGAGGAATTGCTTGAATTTTAAAGATATTTTAAAGATATTTACGTCAAAAAATGTGTTGTGTAAATATTGCATACTTGCTTATAACAACACTTCCACATTTGCTTCTTACCTCCAGCCAGTTGAAAGTTGGTCTCATCAACGGTTCTCTGGTCCAGCACCTAAGTATGACGTCATGTAGTTTTTTGGGGCATGACAAAGGACGTGGTATTCTGAAGCCTTCTTTAATATTGCTTTTAATTTCATTGTTTGTTTTACCTGCAATCAACGTTATAATCGATTTATTCGAAAAACAAACTTTATAATCAGGCCAGCGCGGGGTTCATATGTTCTCACGTCTTGAAATTGGACTTTGATGTATCAATATAAACTCACTGAAGACACACTTGCTGGGGAATGTGAAGTACTGCAACGAAAAGGGAAAATAATTCAAAATTAGTGTATTTATAACTTTATTAGTCAAATCTAGTATTTTATTAGCATTTGATTTGTGTATAATGAAGGCTATGTGTTACTCAAAATCAGCAGAATCAAATGTTGTGATTTAATTTAATGTATGGCATGGTAATAAGGTTATTTGAAGATTTGCCCGATTCCGCTTGTGCGATACAGAATGTCGTATTCATATATGTGTCTCCAGGAATATCTATATCTGTTTCGTATTCTAAAATTCCATCATGTAACTAACTTAGAATATTTTAAAAAGTTCATTCTGCAGCAAAATTATATAATTTGTTCAAATGAATTAATATTAAACCATGAATTTTATCCAAAAAGACAAATTTTCAACACAAAAGTAATTTCGACGATTTGAATCCCTAAAATACACATGTTTAAAATTGTTATATTTCTGATTTTAGTTTAACTAATTACTAAACTATAACATAATTTTGCTAATAATATAATGAGTATCTCACCGGGATATAAAGGTTGTCCCTTTGTCACTAGCTCAATCAGCAGAACACCAAATGCCCAAACGTCCGACTTATGTGAAACATAGCTTTCCAATAGACATTCTGGAGCAGCATGGCAATATGGGTATACAAACCCAACAGGCATTTTTATTTGCCCAAGATCTCCAACATATTTTGCCAAACTGAAATTACACAGCTTGCACAGCATGTTTTCTCCGACGAGTACAGTACCTACGCGAAGATCTACTAAAATATACTTCCGCTGCTCCAAATAAACCATGACAGAAGCCACCTGTTAATTTATAATAATGAATGGTTGTACAAAACTCTGTCGTAGACATTAAATGCAAGGATCGACTTTACGTTAGGATGTATTGGCATACCAACACAGACATTTGAATATAACAAAATACTCTCGTAGTGTGTGTACCAGGGCTGGTGAAACTGGAGCCGGAGTTTTGATGGAGTCGGAGCCAAGCTTACCATAACAAATTTTTTGGATATCTTTGTTAAAAAAAGATTGATAAATATGCTTTCAAAAAAATGATTACTATCCATTAATTATCTCATATATCATAATCTGGGGGAAAGTCGCATCAGTTTCCGTCGTAAGTTTTACAATAAATAAAAAGGTTCATTGCGAGCATGATTGACTGTGTTTAAATTTATTTCAGTGACGGACATCTGTTGCAGAACTTCTAAAACATAGCTCGTGGTGTTTTCTGTTTCATTTTAGTATTTTATATTGTAAAAAAAATTGACTTGCGAATTCACTCCTTCATTTATCTTCAACATCTCATTGCCGATGATTATATAATAACTTTCCGTGCAAAAGCATGCGTTATGTGCGACTTCAACCCCGTACCCCCATCTGCGCCACTAACAATGGCTATGAAGCCAGTTTCGGCATAAAAAACTGAAGCTCTGGAGCTGGAGCCACAGTTTGAGTATACTGTGACGCTGGAGCCGGAGCCAGTGCGATTTCGAACCAGCGCCCCAGTCCTGGTGTGTATCTGGTTAGAGTTCGGTCATAATTTTCAATTTTTTTCCATTCATCGCAGTGGCATGAAAATCCAAATTAAAGACCATGCGCGTTTTCAATCACATTCAACTTCTCGTCGGCAATCATCGCAAAATGACGCGTTTTTCGCACTGTACGTTGATTCTGCGAGAAAAAAAACTAGTTGTCGATCGCAGTGATGTCTTTACCCCTTCTATAGCGAGTAAAAACCGCACTAAAATTTCAAAGTTTACTAATAACATTCAAAAGTTATCATAATTTTATCGCTCATAGCAAAATATCCATTCTTCCCCCAAAGAATGAATAGTTGGGGCCTGGGGGACATACTGGATTCGATGTCATATTGAACGCCCTAGTCCTAGTTCATAATGTCACGCTTACAGAAAAGATCATTGATTATAATGAAATTAGCCCAATAAAAATCAAAAGCGTTGTTGACGACGTTTTCAGACTTCGGTAAATTTCAAAATGTAGGAGGGGGGGGGGGGGGGGCAATCCCGACTGCGCCGATGATATCATTATTATGTATTTTTTTAGTGCCAGCCTGCTCCATTGTTTACTGTGTTAGCCTTTAACTACCTTGAAATCGCAGTATGAAGATATCGGTTTCAAATCAAATGTCCTCCACCCTATCCAGGGCGTACTAATTACCTTTCGTTACATGTGAATGCTTGTTCGATAAATGCTACATACCTGAGCAGCTATCTGGATTTGATCTTGTAGTGTGGTATGGCGGCCTTCGCCATTTTTGAGAAAATCTAGCAAAGTGCCATGCTCCGTATACTCAATTACCAATATCTTCTTATCTGAATCAAAAATGAATTTCATATCGATCTTGTTTGAAGCGTTAGGTTACACAATAGTCATTCAGATACAATAGTTAATATTACTCTCAATAGTTATACAATTCATTAGTCATAGCTTTACCATTACAAGTTACAACGCTTAATAAAAAGTGACAGCTTTAAATGAATTTCTAATAGTCGTCATGTAATTAGCTCAACTCAACTAAATTTAATAACGCACTTCCGTAATGATGTGGTATAATTTACTTAGGCCTACTATTATTGGAATAATATTTGATGTTTGCTTACCGATTACCGCGCCATACAATTTTACAATGTTTTTGTGAGTAAGCTTTTTCAAAATGTTGAGCTCGTTTTCGAAATCAGTCCCGGGAATCTTATATTCTGGATTCCACGTCTTTATCGTCGCTTTTTTATCACCGAAGTTACCTTGTGCACAAATACATTAACGTAGTTAAACATAAAAGCTAAAAAGATAATCAAAAAATGATATATATATAATTTTAGTTGAGTTAGATAAAGGAATGGATACAAAAAGCATTTATAGACTTTCGCGTGAGTTGTATTATTTATCTTTAAGTTCTTATTCTATTTTACGATCAAATTCACTCAATTGCTTTGTTTAATTCAGACACCGGATATCCTATAAGTAACATCTAGTGTGGGTCGCGGTCTCACTCATGTCTGATTAGCCATGGTGGCCTTGTGATGTTTCAATGAAACCATGAAAACGAGTGAGTAGTTGCCGGTTGTTTGATAAACTCTACAGGTTGGCTATAGGAATTTTGCTTCAACTGCAAACAATGAACTCCCACTCCACACAGTTAGATTTCAACCGTATGTATTTCGCGCGCCTAATTATTCTATATTGTGATTGGTTAAACAAAAATTCGGTTTCAAACATACGCACAATCTAGAATCAAAATAGATACCATTCCAAACGTCCACAAATTTTGGGCTCAGGATTTTTCTCTTTTTAACGATCTGACTCTCGTCAATATGTATCCAATCTTCAATATCTTCTATTTTGATCGAATCTAAGTCATATAGAATTATTACGGGTAAAAATGAGTTTTTGTAAGTGTTGTGTTAGGCGAGTATTTAAGCCTAGTGCATTTGCACATAAACCACAGATAGAATTGTCCTAAAATTCGGCCTGTAAATATACGAGATTTACTTTCTGGCCCTTCTAAGTCCCAGAAAATGAACATTTCCCA